TTCAATTCATGCGATATATTTGCAATGAATAATGTTTTGCTCTCATTTGCTGCCTCCGCTGCTTTTTTAGAATGTTCGAGTTGTTCCGTACGTTCAGCAACTTTGGATTCGAGACTCGTGTATTGCAGCAGCAATTCGTCGCTCATTTCATTGAATTTTGAAGTTAAATCCGTGAGTTCGTCTTCAATCCAATGTCTTCGATCCGGCACCTTTCCAGGAATTTTGAAATCTCTTCGTCTATCGGCTTCTAATTTCTCTGCTCTCGATACACGACGCCCTGACTGTGTTAATTTTCTCAGCCGGACCAAAAATCCCGTTTTCTTGTACCCGCTTGAATCACCCTCGCCAACCTCTTCGTCGCCGTATAATTCATCGTCTATACTTTGACGCGGAGTGTAGCCCGGTGGTTGAATGGATTGTTTCGTAGCATCTCTGAGCCTTCTGATTGGTCGAACACTGAAATGAGCCATTGGTATAACCTTGTCGTTGTTAGCAAATTTTGCATGGACAAAGTAAATCTGTTTCGCCAACAGAGACAAAATTCAAGAGGCACTGAATGCGAGTCCAACAGTCCGAACGAGCAGTCTAGACGCAAGCTTTGATAGTCCCATGTTGGATCCACTATCTAAAACAGTACTAAGACGTAATTGTAATCAAAATCGAACAGCCTTCCGTTGCCGGATTAAAGTCCGAACTGTCTATTGGAAACCACAGCGGGGATAAAAGTATATAAAAAAACTTACCACAATAAGGATCAATCCAAATGTACCAAAAACACATGCAAGTAAGATATTCCTAAGCTTGACAATGGGTTCCCAAGCTTCAGAATGAGCTTGTTCTACTATCAGAAGCCAATCAACCAGTGCACTTTGTGGCCTTGCCCAGCCTACAGACACCTTCACTCCTTGCTCGTTTGTGGTTGTGATATAACTACTGGCATTATTGACTTTCGGATTCTGTTGTCCGAACCCGTGTAGAACGGCCGGATATTGACCTTCGCTAAAATTCGAGGTTCCATATCGAGTTAGATTTGCATTGTAGGTGGAATGTCTATCAGTTTGTCCTTCAAGAGGATATGGGGGGAACACGTATTTGACGCTTGCTTTTGTCAAATTATGGAGATCGGGTTCGTAAGTTGCTGTAGCCGGTCTAGACACGTACGAGAACTGGTTCTCTCGTCGATTGGTTCCCACTACCAACACGATTCCTGTGTTATCCAAGCCTTCCCGAGAATAAATAACATCGATTAGCGAAGTCGCAGCTGCTACCACAGTCATATAACCTAAAACGTAGTCGGGATTCGAATTCTCGACAATTGGCAAGGTCAGTGATACTAAAGCATAAGTGCTATTAATTTGTAACGGCCCGAGTAGAAGAGCAGCGCTTTTATTCAGTGGATAATCGGCAAAGGCGTATACCCGTGTAAAATTCGTTCCTGGAGCATATGGGTCGGGATCTGTGGTTGGGATATAAGAGATATTAGGATACAAAGCTGCTGGATATCCCTGATCAGCATCGCCTAGGAAAGCGGGCTGATTCAATGAGTTATTGTAGGGCAGTTGTATATCTGCAACACCTCCAAGCGATTAGTATGAGTTATATCAGTGAGGGAAGATGACCTACCAGATGCATTAGCTGTGACATTCAATATCCCGTTGACCGAACCCGTCTGATTCCGCGAAAATATGATTACTTGAAGCAATGCAGATAGACCACCAGAAGCCAAAGCGCTTTGTACATCTTCTCTTGCTTCGTTCCACTCGGGTACTCCACTATAAAAATCGCGAATGGCTTCCTGGATAAGGATCCTAGTAACGATGGTTGAACATGTGGCCTGGATTAGGAGTAGATCGGAAGCCACTGAAGCGGCTTTGAGTGATGCAGTAAGACTGAGTGCATTTTCTTTAACGTCGACGGTAAAACTATAATTGTTGAACCAAGTAGCGAGAGCAAGCACAAGCAATGGAACAAGAGCAGCCACCAGGACAACCAGGCCAAGTTGCAGCCTGATACCAATCCTCATCTCCAGACCGTTGTATGTTTTGGCCGTCAACAATGGGTCAGGGAAACTGCCTTGTTGATTTAAGCCAAATCCGGCCTCGCAATCGAATGATTCCCTACACTCCCAAACAATTCTTTCGATGGTATGGTTTTCGATTTGCACAATTTCAGCTCGATTTCCTTGCGATGTTTCGAATTCATCAGGAGTATTGTATGGTCCAAGGAAATCGTCGAATGATTCTCCGAAGGTTACCGCGCAAGCCTAGTTGCTTGAGCTCTTCCTTCAAGCACTCCAAGAACTGCTCCACCCCGCGTTGGTGCTCAAGTTGTTAAATTTTCTAGTCAAAGTATGCGTCGCATATTCAGAACATATGCATCGTTATGTAAAGGATCGATTTTGAAGAGAATTCGAGAAGGAAAGGTGGTGATCGATTGATGGTAAAGATTACAAAAGATGGTGGTGGTGGTGGTGGTGGTGAGCGATTACCAAAAAGCTATCACGAAAGAAAAGATGTGGTGAGAAGTGAGAAGTGAGAAGTGAGAAGTCAAAAGTCAAAAGTCAGAAGCGTGGATTGGAGATTGGAGATTGGAGGATTAAAGAAAGAGAATTGCTTCTAGAGTTTGCAAGTGAACAACTTTAGACCAGGATTATATTATTTATGATTTATTTGGTTACTCCCCGAACCCCACAAATAGAAAGACGAAAGTTAAATAGACGATTTGCTTTCTTGAGACTCCAGATTAATGGGATTGTGATTATTTATTATGGATATAGATATGGAATAGATATGAATATAAAAACCCTATAAAAGAGTCCCAGATAGGTCCTTTTCCAAATAAACAATTCAAATTCAGACTGCTGTTCAGACTATTCGCTTCAGTATTAAATGGGATGAATGTAAATAAAAGTACATATTACATGCATTATTTACACTATTTATACACATTACATGCCGCCCACGGCTGTAAATTCACAATTCTTATGAATCTAGACTTACGAGGGATCAATATTTCAATCTAATATATACTAGGGAGAGACGGGAGGATTGAATTGACAAGTAATGAACGGTTCATTGTGGCGCTGTCCGTCCATCTTTCATCTTGATAGGTAGCTAGGTAGTAGTAGTATTAGTAGTCGACAGGTATCCAACACTCAATCGCTTATTAGTATATCATTCAAGCTATCAATCATATCACTGCCGTTAAGACATTTGTAGAAATTACCACGACAAGGGGCATTAGCCATTCCAAGGTTGGCATAGACATAGACACATTTCTTCGATCGGAATCTCTCCCCAGAAACCTAATTATCTATCGGGACGAGTGCATTCATGAATCCCACAGTATTACGAATCACAACTAACTATTATCTTGAAGCTAGATACCTAGTATCTCCTACATCGTACCACCAGTACAGATCACTCTTTCGACAACACATCGGACCAACAATCTCGTATCTATACCGAGTACGAGTGTAAGTCCTGTACACACACACACATACACACGTACACACACACCACCACCGCCCACTACCACACAAACCACTACCCACTCCATCAGCCACAACTTCCAAGCGGTCCCTACTCCCACACCAGCGTGGAAAACTTGTACCGGAGCCTCAAGAACTCTCCTCATTGGCCCCATGGTGAAAATCATCTTAGTCAAAGACAAAAACGGTTCTTTCATCCGCGACTATGCCATATTTAGTAATACCCCCATCTAACTAATCAAATTGATATGTGGGAAGAAACATCCAGACATCCAATTCATCCTCCTTGCTTACGGAGCGGAGGGAATACTTCTTAAAATCCGAATTGTTTTTCGCCTCCTTCCCCTTGATCTTATGGAGCACTAGATATAGGTATGTGTTTAGTGCTTTTTTGTTTTGTTTTTCGCATCTTGTACAACTGGTAGGTATGTAACTTTTAGATGCAATGGAAAATAGTCAAAAGTATAGCTACCTATCGAGCCCATGTACCTACTATATCAAAACTTCAATTTCATATCATCAATCATACAACAACAAATCTCAAAATACCAAGATCCCGAGACCGAGACCGAGATCATCTCGAGTGAACGGACCGAAGAGATACTTTCTTTTGTGAAATCATGGGGAAGGTTTCTAGGGAAGACCTTCCCTAGACAGCTAGGGCTCGTAGGTAAAATGCATACCTAGGTAATATCTAGGACCCGAGGATAATAAATCTCGAATCCCAGATTAGATATCTAAAACATGGGAGCATTGCATACCGCACAAAGTCTAGAAGTAAACAGATTTAGAACAATATTTCTCAATTGCGGACTTACGGTAAGTTTACTTAAGTCTACCAACACCTACCCAATACATCAATAAGCAAGTACATTTCTCTTAGTACTCCGTACAGCTCAGAGCTCTACACCTCCCAACCCTATTCATCTCCCTACTCACCGAACCTAGGTATTCTCCTCCTTCAATATCTTCATCAGATAGAGAGCTTCAACTCCTAACCACCTGATACCCATCCAGTATAGAATAGAATATAGAATATCCATCAATATAATCCCCATCATATATCAGACACCGGATATCAGACACCGGTCATCATATATCTACATAGTAATCCAGCAAAACTGAAAATATCAATCAAACCCATTTATATAGCCGCGTAATGAAGATATCATTTCTGCTTGCTAGAAACTCATTGGGTTGATTACGAGTATGGAAAAGAATGTTCTGGGGATTAGATGGATGGAAACTTCACAGATTATACAAAGCGGGAGTGGAAGGGGTGGTTTGGGATTTGGGTGATGTTGGGGTGAAAGATATATGTGCTGATTGTATTGTGCTTTTGTGGCTAGTGGTGAAGGATTGCCTTGCGGATGCAATCTTTTAGAAAAGGGGGGGGATTGTAATTCTACAATTAGTGATGAATTTCCATATGATTTTACTTCCTGCATTGGAAAGGAGAGAATCTGGGTTGATGCATGTAGATAATTTAAAACACCTATAGACATATAGCTTTTCACCTCCAAAATCCCATATCTCGCTTCCAAACTACTCCTCACAACCCATGATCCACAATCTGCATCTCAACCCCCCTCTCCACCACCCCCGGTCCCGCCATCTCCATCTCAAACTCCAGATCCGGCTGAATCTCCGCATACAACGCATTCTTCTCACTCGCCATCTTGAAATTATACGCCGCCTCCTCATCCTCAATGACATACACTCCTTTCTTCAGCTCTCCATTCGCATCGCGGGTCCCTCCGACCGCCGCTTCAACTTTCAATTGAATCTCGCACCCGCGATCTAAGAGCGCGAAGAGGAATCCCGCTTCGTCGACGGTAGATCCGGTGCTTAATAAGCCGTGGTTGAGGAGGATGGCTACTTTGTTGTGGGGACCGAGGGCTCGCGCAATGTTGGCGCCTTCTTCAGAGGCAAAGACGATGCCACCGTAGGAGGCGTAGAAGGCGATGCTGTTGTGGAGGTTGCAGATGTCTTGGTTGAGCATATCGAGGGGTCGACCGAAGACGGACCTAGGTATTGTTAATACTTATATGTGGTAAAGTTCTGAACAAAAGGCTCACCATGCTCGACCAGCATTTGTATGTGCATGACAGATAGCATGAACGTCAGGACGTGCTTTATGGATTGCAGAATGGATTAAAAACCCAGCGGCATTTGCAGGACGAGACTATAATTGCGTTAGTAACAACATCTCTCCGTGTTCATATCCACTATTTGCGAAAGGAAACTCGTACCCTATTTCCTCCTACAACTTTTCCACTCTCTAAATCTAAACACATCATATCACCAGCAGTCATCAGACCGAAATGTCGACCGAGAGGATTCATCCAGATGTAGTTCTCAAACTCTGGGTCTCGGACGGAAATATGTCCTGCCATGCCTTCGGTGAAACCGCGACGAGAAAAGTCTCGGAAGACGGCCGCCATGTGGATGAGGATGTGACGACGGTGAGCAGCATGGTTGGGAAAGGTTGGGATGCCTAGAAACGTTGTTAATGAATGAGCGAGTGAAGTACGAAGTTGAAGAAAACAAAGTCCATAGGGCTGAAAAAGAAGAAGAAGAGAAAAGCTTTTGTAGGCGAAGATGGACTTATATGATTATCCTCGAATATTCCGCATACTCAAGCCCAGACAGAAACCAACCATCCAACATAATAATTTCTATCTTGCACTTGCAAAACAGAACCACGCAGGAACATTCATACCTTCTACCCTTCACCATCTAGCTCCACAATCCCCCAAAGCTCATTTCAACAACACAAAACACTCGACTTCCACACTCACTCCTCCCACTATCCCATAAAAACCCTCCAGACACAAGGAAAATCCATCATATCTCACCAGACATAACCACACCTCCATGGCTAATCGCCTCCAAAGGAGTTAAATCCTCTCCACCATGAACATGTTCGACTTTCTCATCCTTTGCTATTGAAACATCCTCCCCTGTTTTCTTCTGAATAGAAAGATGTGATTCAGTCGCTGAGGGTGCCATATTTGCAAGTCCGTTATCCTTCTTTTATATCTTATCAAGAGATGATCTTAAGATGGGCGTGTAATAAAACTATGATCAATCCTCGTAGTAAAGAATCAGATATGCTCTGTCCGAATCTCAATCTCAATCTCAGATTTCCAATATCGCCGATTACGGGGTTTCTGGAAATATCAATATATACACTTCCACACACACACACACATACACACCAGTAATTCGAGCTGAAAACAGAGGTGCAGTACCAGTAAACACAGCACAAATATGGATTTAGATGGCGAGTCGATGGATCAACCTATTTGTTATAAACAGATTACCTAAAGAATACCATCTCCACTCTCGAGGTGTACGACGATAGTGGGATGGTTTAAGATAAGGCGATGATAGCAATGGTATTGAAGTTTAAGTTGTCGATGAGAATCATGTATGTAATGGTAGTCAGATGTGATTGATTGAAAAGATAAAATAGTGCTTCCGTAGTTATCCCAAGATGCGATGCTTATTAGATATCACTTATCACTCGTTTGATAGAGGTGAATGTGAGACTATTGTGGGCTTGGTGGGGTTGCTAATTGCGGGGTAAAAGTGGTAAGGTGTGAGAGGGCGAGAGGGGGTGTTGCAGTGAGGATGGGGTGGAATTTCCTTGTTTATTTCTTGTTAAGAATGGTCTTATTGTATTACAAGTTGAAATCTCTCATAGTTTATTACCTGCTATTTATAACTTGACTTTTTCATGCCCGTCTAAGGTATTCTCATGTGAATGCTCTCGAGGATTCTCAGCACCCGGCCCTGCATCATAGAGATATGAAGGTAGATTCTCTATTCCACGTCACACATAGCCAGAATCAAAGTCACTCAAACATAGTCAAAATTTTGAGGTATCGGTATTGAATTAGGTAAAGTTGCCAATAGCTAATCCCCTCTAATCCTCAACCGTTGCGCCCCTTCCCTACGCCCATACCGAAACGCCTCAATACCCCTATTTTCAACCGTTGAACCCTTACCCTATCCTATACCCATAACCAAACGCCCCTGTCTCCCATCAACACTACCCACTACCCAGCCAAAAGACCTCAACACCCCTATCTCCAACCGTTGCGCCTTTACCCTATCCTATGTCCATACCAAAACGCCCTAGCCTCCCATCAACACCCCCCACCACCCAGCCAAAAGACCCCAACGCCCTTCAACCCAACCATAACGCCTATCCCAATATCCTCAAGTGAACCCCCATAACCCCCGTACCCCAAATTAAGTATTATATATTAAATACTATACATTAAGCAACACGGAGTCTGCGAGATAATACTCGCTTTCCTCAATCCCCATCCCCTTGAGGATCCTGTCGCTGTCCAGCCTACAAGTGATACCCTAATGCCCTACCACCCCGCACCCGACCGACTTACCCCTCTCTAATCTGTAGTTGCTACCGAGTACTATCACCGAGTATGATGAGTGACATACAGACATATCACCACCAACACTCAATACTCTTGAGATTTGTACAGATCCCAATCTTTACCCCTGCAAGTACCATATTCTAATGATACCGGATTCCGGGGATCAATCGATTGGACGAGAGAGTGCGACGTACCCGACCGAGCATATCGAAATACTGCTCTTCGAATACGACTTCCGAACGCCTCTGCCGGAACGCCTGCCGGAACGCCTTTCATAAAACAGTCGATAATGATGTTGGATGTGCCGTTAACGCCGTCGAGAATTCCGTCCAGAACACCACCAGATCCGTCTTTCCACAAGCCATCGACTTACCTCTCCCAACCCATCCCCTATAAGCATCAGGCATGGCAAAATCCATGTTAATCAAGATACTCATGTTATGAAGACGAGCCTAGATGGGAGAGTGCGACATGTGTATATGAATGTAACCCGTACGAGACCCTTGTAAAGAAACTCCACCAAAAACGCCTTTCCACAAACCGCCAGACAGACAAACACCAGAACCCCATACCAAAACGCCCCTCCCCCCATGTCCGACTTACCCCTCTCTAATCCGCGAGTTGCAGATCCTAATCCATTACCCCTGCAAGCATCATGCATGACATACAGACATGTCAGTTACGATGCCCATATTCCGGGGATCAGTTGATCAGACGAGAGAGTGCGGAGTGTTGAATTCACTTGAACGCCTACACTCAAACCCCCCAGTAGCCACCCCTAAAATTAGCATTTCACATTCCCGAACACTTCATGTTAGATCACAAAGACTTTTTTCTAATGGTTTTTTATTTATAAACGTCCCCTTTTCTGTGATTTCCTTCATATATTTTCCACTTGTTTTTGGTATGAGTCCCCCTGAAACGATTGCTCATGCATATTGTTTATGTCCCCGGCCTTTGTTTGTTTTTTTTTTCGATTTTTTTCTTTTTCGATGCTTTCTTTTACCCTCGGCATAAGCGAGTTTTCATCCTTGAATTTTTATCGTTTTCCCCCTATTTTTCCGGTTTCGATTCCATGGTGGACGTACTTTCTTCCCATTAGTAATAAACTTCATGCCGTGACGCCTCCCATACTCAAACCCCGTGGCGAGTGTTGCCCAAACTCCAATGACATTTCTCAAAATGATCTTATCGTGCCGTGAGACACTCGCATCGAAGAAAATTCGATACTCGTGGATCACTTGAAAGATCTGAACAAATAGCACCACGGAGTTCATAATCCGTCGCTGATGATCATCCGATCTTTGCTGAAAGAAACTGCCTCCCAGAACCCGAGTCCCCTTTTGAACTTTTGTATTACCTAAATCACTGCCGTGCCGCTATTATTCCTTGCGAGCAACAGCAGGATACCCGAAACTCCCCCCTCCCCCACCAGAACGCCCAGATTAATCAACCACCCATGATCAGATTATAATAATAGCAAGTACATCCTTGATCCTTTTCCCAAATCTCCAGTGAAAAAATTAAACCCCCAGACTCCTTGCCCCTGTCTCAACCATGACGATTAGAGACAGCCCTCCCGCAATGTAAACATTGTTGCGAGAAGGTTGGGAAGGTAGTGCTTACCAAGCCATGGCGACGGCAGCGATGGCAGCGACGGCAGAAGCAGCACCTTGGAAGGTAACTGGGCCGCTAGTGGTGGGGCCATTAGATGAGGTTGTACCTGATCCAGCGGAGCCAGGAGAGCCAGCTTGACCGGCTCCAGTTTGTCCAGCTCCAGCTTGACCTGCCTGTCCTGGTTGACCTGCCTGTCCTGGTTGACCTGGTTGACCTGGTTGACCTGCTTGACCTGCTGGAGTCTGACCAGCAGAGCCAGCCGTAGCAACGACAGTTCCATTGGAGACAACAGCTGGGACAGTAGCGGCAGTGACAGTTCCATTTTGGAAGATAGGGACGCCAATGGAGACGACACCTGGAACTACAGAGGAAGCAGGTCCTGTTGTGATTTTGCAAAAAATGGGTCTAACAGTTGTGGAAACAGGGACTAGTGTGATCTTCACAGTTGAGGAAGCGGGGCCAGTTGACTTGGAGATGACTGATCCAACTGGAGTCACAGTGGGTGGTCCATCGACCTTGTTGATGATGGTGCAACCAGTTGGGCAAGGACTGATGGTGACCCATCCTGGTTGTGTTATAGTAACGACGGTGTTCTGGTGAGTGATGGTGGTAGGTGCGGGCAAATAGGTGGCGTAGGCGTTGACGATTTGAGTAATGTATGAAGCATTACCTTGGTCAATGAGGACGTTACCGCCGTTGTTAGGGTAGACCATTCACCACTTAATAGGCCTTTTGAGGGAACTCCAATAGACGACGACATACCTTGAAGAATAGCAATGCTGCTATCAGCGCCTACAGCTGCACCGGCGCCGTTGCCGTTGGCTCCTGCAACACCTTGAGCTACAATGTTACCATTTACACTAACTTGACCACTAACTTGGTCACTCTGGGAGTTTTATGCGGTAGCAACTCCGTAGAATGCGAGAATAGCAGCTGCCTGGGTTAAGATGAGCTTCATCGTGACTAAGTATTTCTTATGAAGGGAAGTAGGTGTTGTAAAGAGAATGAAGTGTTGTAAAGGGAAGGAATTGTTGTGAATTGTAAACGATTGACTGCCAGAACAAGCAAGAAGATTTCAACACTTTGGAGGGAGAATCGGTATTTATACAAATTCATCACACCCTAAATTTTAGTGTCTTAAGCTAACATCATTGTGATGATACCACATTCCAACCACTGACACTATTGATAAGAAATACTCGTAGCTCATGAACTATGCGCCAGCCAATAATGTCATTGAAACTTGGAAGCTCGACCAAAGTGCAGTCCTCATCAGAGAAGATCAGAGACGTACGGAATCAAGTGTAGATGTGATTGGTCATGATCGTGCGATAATCAGGTCCTGATCTAGAGAAATCTAGGAAGTGACATCCACTCGGGTCAAACTTGTAGTAGTCCATCAGGAGTTGCAAAAGTCGATCACTCTAAATGATCAATCAATCTGGTTTCTTGACATTCGTAATGATTGTATTGGCTAATGGTTTCAAGCAGGATCTGGTTGGCCTTGAATGCCAACATCTAAGAGTGCGGGGAAAGGGCATAGAGGAACATCAAGGTAAAGCTAAGTAGGTGCATTAAGTGCTTAGGGGACGAAAACTCTTAAGGAAACCCACTTGTCTCTTAAAACCGATTCTGACGATTAAACGTCATAGATAAGTGTACTCTCATTAGTGATTGCCACTCAGAAACCGGAAACTAGCATGCCATTTGATGAATGCCATACAAGGGTTATAGTTCCATTCCAGCACCGCGGATTCTAACTTAGAAGGTCGCCTTCAATCCAAACATTAGTCGAAGAAAACATTTTTCCCTCTGTGAAGTTAGTCTATTTGGCGATACAGATTCTGGTCTGGCTCCAGAAGGAGCGAATCAGTGATAATAGATAATGAACTGTGAGATGCAAAACACGATCCCCAAGGATACCGGAGTCATGTCCAACGTATATTCACGAACATTCAAGACCATGATAGATCCCAAGTTTAGACCGGCATCAACGGAAACTCACGGCATGCATTTTCGACAACTAGCATCTTTGAATTACCTTCAAAAACAAATAGGTTAGAGAAAAGTTGAAGATATTCCCGACAAGGTTGATTTAGGGTGAGATGTTTGTTAGCGACCTCGGTAGTTCGCGAGACTCAAGCTATTAACCGCCTAAAGTTTCCTGACTTGGCTATTTGGAGATAAATTAGTTTAGCATCATGTCAACAGATTTCCATACCTGATGAAAGTATGTACTTTATACAAGGTATGTAGATGTTGATACACCTTACTGACGTAGAGCCTAGTAAGGAAGATAAACTAGCAAGTTTCTCGTGAGTAATTGATATTGTCGGCACAGCGATTTCTTGGAAGATGTTCTCATTTCTCAATCCAAACGTAATCGACGAAAGCCAATACTAGTATTGCCTCGACAACCACGACCATTATAACGGCATTAGTAGATTGGTATTCGACAATAATAAGAACTAGCTGGTGACCATGACTTAGAGCTTGATTAAGGGGTTTAGTGTTAAGATCCCCGGAACTAGGAGGATGTCTGTGGGTCTTTTTAAACGCATTATAGTTTTCTCTTGCAACGGTTTCTTTTTTGGGAAAACTTGTATCAGATCGTTCAAATCCTTGGCTTGCATAGATAATACTCGTCAAAATTCATGACAAACTCTCGTATGCTAATGCTTTCGATTGGTTCAGCGAGGAATGCCATGGAGCCATGGAAATCATATGTAGATCATGCCAGACATTTCGCTTCCTGTAAAGTTCAACGGGGGACCGGAAGAATTACCTACTACTAAGTACCCAGGCAAGAAGGGAATTGAACTGTTAATTCCGTGTCTTCCGTAAGGAAATTGTGTTTGACGAAAACACCGAGATTTGAATAGTTTCAAAGAATCCATTTTAAAAGGAAAATAGAAATGCCATTGGATTTTATCGAGGTCACCAATACCAATAGAAGTTGTTATGGAAAACACCATCCCATCATCAAATATCAATGGCTCATCAAGGTAAGATTACATCTCCTTGTCAAGCACCCATAGGTTTTATGAAAGGAAACAGCGTCACCTTTACCAATGACTGCTCGCCCAAGGAAAAACACATCATCACGAAAAGAAGGAGAAAGAGATAGAAAATCAAATCCATATTAGAACAATTTTAGAAGATAGCCAAAAATTGTAAGTGTACCTAAACTCCATCCCTATTTCTAGATACAGTTCACCGGGTCCGGGATTATTTTCTGTTAACCAGTGTATTCTCATCATGATCTGAAATGAAAAATAGTGAAGCCTCAAGATATCGTACAAACAAACGCCTAATTGGATGCAATCATGTACTTCGATGTACTTTCAAATATCATATCATATCATCTGTAATTGTCCTCTGGCGCTGAGAATAGGCCAACTCTAGTTCGGTGGCTCTGAAAAAGACAAATCAATATAATGTTCTAACATTCAATATCTCAAATATGAGATATTAAATGGAAAATTTTGGTTGAGAGAAACTTACGTAAGGCAATTTTGGTATCACAACTCCGAGAACGGCGAGAAAGTTGATGATAAAGTAAGTGAGGTCGTAATGGGTATAATGAGTACTAATGAGGAACAAAACGATTGGTACACTCATGAGAAATTTCTTTGCAGGCGTGTATTGAGCTCCATTATCAATCTGTTCCCACATGTTCAAATTGTCGTAGGCTCCAGCGTTGAACTCAAATGGTACACCACGGACCCAATGAAACATGAGAAAAGAACCAAACATGTATGATATATTTGTTAATGTCCAAGATGTCTCTTGGGAAACACCGGGGATTATATCAAAAAGAATCTTGAGGCATGCGATTAAGACCAGATGTATTGTCCAAGCACCTAATGAATGAAGTAGTTAGCATTGAGAAATCAACATACTTCCTATCCCATGTAGAAATTATGTCATGAACATATGCTCCAATTGCTACATCGCACACAATCGAATCCAGGAATTTCTGACCTTTTGCGTTCACCCAGTTGGCATTAAGATTTGGTAACGCCGCTTGATCACTCATATGCTCAATTGTCTCCGGTGGCTCCTGATATAGCAAACTGCTCGACCGCCTCCTGCGTCCAACCTTTTGCTCACTCATTGTTCGATATGGACCACTTGGACGAGGTGGATTTGAACTCGCGTCGTAAGAGACTGTGCGAGGGAGGAGGAGTGGGGAAGACAGCTTGGCGGTGGTTGCGGAAGGAATTTTGAAGGTTGAGAAACGCCTCCGGGAGAGCGTCTTGTCGTGATGTTAAGATGTATATTCGAATTTGGAGAAGGGATGTGAAAGATCTGATAGCGGCTGTCGAAGGCTTCTAGCTATAACCACAACGTCAGCGATGAGCTCATTGGATGTTTCATGTAATTTAATGCAGTAAGCTAAGTGAGAAATGCGGATCTCTGATAGAATTGAGGTATTGACCTAGGTATGCATGAATTTGGAGAAAGTTTAGGGGCTTACTTCTGAGTACCTGATTGCGAGACAGTTTGAATGTTGATGAAACGAGGGACTGTAGATACAAGAATACGAGAATACGAAAACGAGTGAGATCTGATTCGAATTGAATTTGCCAACAATCAGAAGGTCTAAACGGAACCCTGGAGGGAAGCTGGAGCTTCTGGAAGTGTAGAGAACCTGAAGCTCGAGGCGGGAGGCGTATCGAGGGAGGAGAAAGGAGAAATGAAGATGGGAGACGAATCAACCGAGACGGCGGCTTACGTTGCTGTACAGACTGTAAGATGTAGAGATGTGTGGTGAACGATGAGAATTGGGGGGAGTTTTGGTGATATTGTTATATGGTGTTGTTGTTCTGTATTTAGTCGTCTTTCGGTCTTGGTGTTCTTGGGGAGATGGGGATGGGGTCAATGCTCGGGAGTCTGATCGGACTAACTTTTCCGCTACAGTAGATGAAGGTAATATACAGGTCGATAGATGAGTAAAGTGTACCTAGGACCAGGACAGGAATAGTATTCCAAGTAGATTTTGCTCGAGCGGGATGTTTCTTTCTTAATCCTTGGGTAGAGACTGGAGTGCTGGGTACTTATTATTTACCTAGGTAGGTAGGTAGTCGAGGTGGCATCCAGATCATGTATACTCCGAACTAGGTGAGTACCGTAATATCCATATACGGTAACATAAATCATGAGGTCCAAAATAAAAACTCGATACCAGGCAAAAATGAATCGAGAATCTCTTTGGAATGTTCTTTTAAAAAGGAGCCAATAACAAGGGTCAATCTTCAAGGATTATTTCCATTTATAGTTAGTTTCACCGAAATGAACAATATATTATATATCGTCCATTCAACCAATCAAACCTCCTCACCGAGGCCGATAATAATTTCCAGAAATAGTCATTTTTCGTGATATCAGAAACCCTCATTATTAAATTTCGAGACAAACTTCTATTTACACAGGACCGGCAGAGTGAGGTACCAAGGATCGCATTTCTGCGACGATACTATACGACAACTGATTCAACAATATATGAAGATTTTGAGGACATAAACTCTCTTTCGATTATATGAAAAACATTTCGATCTTCAGAAATTCTCTTGATTATCTGAACCGGTTCTTTATGTTCTACAAGGACAATTGAACATCTCAGCAGCTTTCACTAATTCTTCTAGGACCCCGCTCGCACAAAAGTACAGCCCTCTCGCCCTTTACCCGTACCCGTACCTATACTCATACCTATACCTATACCTCTACCTATACCCATACGCACTCGCACTCGCACTCGCACATTCGAATCAACGTGTGAATGTCGCATCTTATCGCTTTGGGTTTGTTTTGATTTTGATCTACCTGGGGAGCATCATCAAACATGGATTCACCAGCAGAAGATGCAGTTGATTCGCGATCGAATGTGGTTGGAAGGAAGCGTGCTTTACAAACATCCTCGGATCAAGGTAGAGAAGTTGTCACAATTGATTCTTCTTCAGATGAATCTGCAAGTCAGCCTCGAAAGAGGGCAAAGCCATCCAACGAATCCGCCAAAGTTGAGGTCGATCTCACATCTTCGCCATTGCCAAAGGAATCGATAGGTACTCTCACATCGGAAGCAAAGGCTGGATCACCGGCGACGTGGAATCAAGGCGTACAGAGTGGGCTGCGAACATCTTTCAAGAGCAAGAAACCACCGCTGTCTCAAAGCACTTCCTCAAAGCAGCTAGAACAAATCCCAAATGATGCCATTGAAAAATCTCAGGGTCGATCTGAGCAAAAGCCAATGACCAAAAAACAATTTAACAAGCTCGGGGAAGATAAACAACTAGCTCTGATGGAAGCAAATACTCAGGATGTTTCCGCGTTAATAGATCTTCATGGTTGGCCAGTGCCGGAAGAATTTCAACAGAACTGTCTGAAGTTCGTTGGAGAGGGACTGACTTTTTACTCAACTCCAGTGAAGAAGGAACAGCCTGTAGGACGCTATTCGTTCGGCGGCCGTGATGTTCAATTGCGAGAGCTTTACAGTGAGGAAGGCAAACCCATCACGAGTAAGGATATCACCTATTCTGATATCCTTCTTTCGCTCATGCAAAACAACGAATTTTTTGGGCGTGCGCTACCAGACAAACGTGCTAAGGCTGCCGTCAAAAGTTACTTGTCTTATTTTTACAACCACATTCCACAAAAAGAACAATTTATATCTTCTCTGGTGGCAGAAGCTCCGTCTCCAATCGAGGTTCTCAAGAACGCTAAAAAGGGCCGCCCACCAACTTTAGCTCGCGCAACGGATCATTATGATAAAAATGCTTCCCCGGCAATCATCAACGACGGTTCAGTCACAGATGAAGCTCTCATGAAACAGAACAATGCCTCCACTTCCAAATCGGTAGCAGAATCCAATGGCGATGAGGAGTCCACTCGGGTTGCTCCCACCCTAGTTACAAATGCTATCGATCCAACCAGAGAACGCACGATCCCCACTGAAGCCGGGACAGTTCAGATGAATCATGGTTCGTCGAACTCACTAGCCGGAAGTGAAATGGAGGTCTTGTCGGATGGTGGTATTGCTACTGATGTCGATGATGATCATGAGTTTGAGGCGGCACGCGAAATGGGTTTACGTCCGGAAATCCCTCTAGAAGATCATGCTACAATTCTGAAATACTTCCCAGCCATCGACGGTGTCATCGTCAGAAAGTGCTTGATCTGTGGCTCAAGTGGACATGATCGAAGTGTATGTTCTGACAAAGCTTGTTCTTCTTGTGGCAGTAAGGGTGATCATCTTACTCCAGCTTGTCCTCGGACTACGATCTGTGGTAAGTGTAGAGAAGTGGGCCATCAGATCTCACAATGCTCTGAAAAGCTGCGTGCTGTCAAAGATGATGTCAAATGCAATACGTGTCAATCGACAAGTCATCTTGAGGATCAATGTCATGTAATCTGGAGAAGTTTTCTTCCTGATCCAGATGAGATCAAAAAAGTTCGCAATATTCTGGCTTTTTGCTACTTTTGTGGTCGTCCAGGTCACTTTGGCCCTGAATGTGGACTATATCGTGGTAAACCTGCTTCTGGCGGAAAGTCTTGGTCGACTAGCAATATGGAGAAATTTCTTGATGGTCCTAATAGTTATGATGACTCTCTTTCTCTAGGAGGTAATGACTATGCAATTCCGAATCGTGGAAAGAAGGGCTTCACTATCAAGGGAAAAGCCAATGATCCCATTGATTTGGATGACAGCGATGATGACGAAGGCTTCATCCAACCCAAAGTCAACATGGCTCCCAGGAATGGTCACATTCAATTCTCCCAAGCTGGTGCAGTGCAATCTTTCAATCAACCTCCCCCTTTTCAATTTCAAGGCAATACTGGCGGCAACCAAAACAGTAGAGGACCTTCTGGAAACCATGGTGGCCGTGGCGGTCATAGAGGTGGCGGCGGTGCAAAGAACAAGCCGAAGCCTAAATCTGGAAACAATCTCCCTAGAGGTGGTAGTCAGAGTCGTGGGAAAGCCTATCGCGGTAGAGGCGGAGGCGGACCTGCTCGAGGTGCTCCACGTGGTCGCCGCTAATCTCCTTCTGTGGAGTCGTTGCTTATATTTTGGACTTGGACTATGATACAATGTCGTGATGATGGTCTGATGCGGCTCCATGCTATGTCAAATCCTCACATGTACATTGTAGAATATTTCAATCCGAAATCAGACAACTTGTATACAAATATCCTTCAGGATTCAATATCTCATTCTAGTAATTTTTTTTATATTCCTGATCTGGAACTGGAGAATTAGAGTTGGTCGATAGATTTGGTATTCGTATCGTATCGTCTGAAATATGATTCCGACGTAAAAACGGGAGTTGGAAGATCACGAGACTTAGACTCTTCTATACACAGCTACGAGTTTTAATAAGGTCACGCTGCATATGGGTAAAAATACGTTCTTCATGGATAATGAAAATGAGAATTTATAGTTTTGGTGGCTGCGTGTTGTGTTCTGAGTGAAGTGTGGTCTGGGTTGGTTTGTTTTAGAGATCTTTAGCCCACCTAGATGTTGAGGGATCAGAGATGGATGGATGAATTGATGAAATAAAGTAATGAATGAATGCATGGATGTGATGAAAGATGAATGTGACGATACAATGCGATTGGATTGTATGATTAGCAGGTTTTGTTGTTTGTACATACCTACCTACCGCCCTGGGTATATATATATACCTAAGTAATGAAATGATATCAAGATTTTTTTTTTACTTTTTTTTTCTTTCGTTGAAAAGAGAGTGAGGTTTTAGGGGAGAGGGGGAGGAGGAGGAGGGTGTCACGGATCGGCCTCAATCGCAACTGCGATCGCTCACGTGCGCTTGCACGCACGTGCACAATCACATGTACATAGCTAGTATATAGATGCGCTCCATAAGCGCTTTGCTCTCGATTCTAAGGATAAATTGTACCCTGTTCTCGCAATTCTTCTACGGAAAAGTGTTACAAAGAGTAATATAAATATAAATGTAAATGAATGTAAATATAAATAAATATAAATATAAATAAATATAAATATAAATAAATGTAAATGAATATAAATGAATATAAATGAATATAAATGAATATAAATGAATATAAATGAATATAAATGAATATAAATGAATATAAATAAATATAAATAAATTAAAAAATCTAATAAGTATAAATTTGAATAATAAATGAAAAAATAAATAAACAAATTCTAATAAAAGATTATTTATTATCTAAATAGGTAGGTATATTCCTATACTATTATAACGTATATATTTCCTAATATTATATTACGGTATACATGTAATTACATTCAATCGGGCTAGTACAATACTAAGCTTTAAGCCGATTGTATATATAACTTTGTAATATACTCTTTTTAATTCTATAACTTTTAATTCTAAAATTAATTTTTAAATGTTTGTTAAATTCATTATATTATTAAAAACTCTTTTAGATAAGAAATGAAATAATATTAGTATATACTTATAAATAAAACCCTTATGTATACTTTACTTATTTCTATTTAAATATATTATTTCTACTCTCTTATCTATATATAAACCTTCTTAATATTATTTAAAAATATTATCTTTTTTCTTATTTTTAATTTCTTAATTATAGATTATAATTTAATAAACCTTATAATTATAGAAATTTATGATAAAGTAATTTATTAATGAAATAAAATCTTGTTTTTATATTTTCTAATTCTTAAATATATTTTTATTATTTAAATATCTTTTTAATCGAAATTCTTTCTTTTTAATTTCAAAAAGTTTAATAATAACTTTTAGAAATTTAATATATAATTATTCTCAATTTAAGTAAAATTATAAATAAATAATACTATAATTAATAACTCTACTACTCAGTTTTACTATATTTATTTTAATCTCAAATCTTATGTATAAGCTATAGTATTACCTCAACTTTCTTCTTTCAATTAAAATATTTCTTTAGATTATATAATAATCTTAAATCAATTTATATATATTTATAACAATTTAAATAAAATATAAGAAGTTGAAGATAAGTTATTCAATCTTAAATAAAGAATTGATTCTTTATATACCTATATTATAAAATTTGAAAGAATTCTTTATAAAATAAAAGATTAGAATTAATCCGATTCGAATAAGATCTTAATCTTTTATAATAAATTTAATATTATTCTTAAAAAATTTTTTTTTTAATAATTTTCATTATTTTATTTATATTTCAATTTTGTTTAGATTATATAATAATTAGCTATATATATAATAAATGAATTCTCTATATTATTCTACTTTAATAAATCTAAAGTTTTATATCTATTATAGAATTCATTTCATTCTTAAAATTATAATCCAATAGATATTAATAATCTTAATATTCTTAATATCTTCAACACCCTTCTAAATAAAGCAAATTATATCCCAATCCTATTTTATATTAAAGTACTCGAATTTTCCCCTACTAAAAGAACTCAATTATATTGTTACAACGGATTAGTAACAGGCTGTAGAATCACTGATTTATAGGCTATAATGATATTATAGGCCTTAGTGATTCAGCTGTAGTATATCGGGGGACATTAAGCACCTAAGAGACGCTTCAGGTATGTATATAGTATTAATCATAGGATACCCTAGAAATCTAGAACATAGTTTTTAGGACAGTAGATCCTAGGAAAGACAGAACATAGTAAGCAAGAAGGCTTCACTAAAATTAATAATGCCTTAGGGGATTAGCTCTAAAACAAAAGAACAAGTTAGAATAATAGGAATTATAGGACAAGTGTTATGTGATTAAAAGTTAATCAACTTGTCGATCGATTTCAGTATGAAGGTTTATATAAGGAAGGGGTTTCATTATAATATAAAGCTTCGTACTCAAGAACAATCATTAATTTTATTATTATAGTTATAAGAATTGTAATTAATTATAACCATTTCGAAAGATCTCTAAACACTTCCACATAACCCTAGAGGCAGCTCCCATAACATATGTAAAGAAAACAAATATATTTAATACAAAAGTACTTTTTATTAAGTATAATCCTATCCACTTGATTTATATTAAAGCATTTAAGATCGAAAAGAATCTATTCTAATTATTATATTTATTTTTATTAACTTTTATAATAATAATAATAATAATAATAATAATAAAAATCTAAATAAAGTAATTAATAATTAATATTTTAAAGATTGTTTGAAAGAAGTATAAGCTTTTATTAACATTTTCTATTTAATAATAATATATTTAACCTTTCAAAGTATTTTATAAAAAATTGATAAAGGAAATAGTAATAATAATAATGAAAAAGAGTTTTATTAATTATATTTTATATTTAAATTATTTATTTAAAATGAATTCAAAACGAATTTTTCAAAAAGGAGGAGTAATATTATAATTGTTACGGGAGCTGCCTCTAGGGTCACGTGGAAGTGTCTAGAGATCTCTCGAGGTGGTTTAGACTAGACTTCAAGTAGGAATTCAATAAGGTTGTAACTGGTTGCAATTCTCGTAACTATAGTAATGAAACTAATGATTGTTCTTGAGCACGAAGCTCTACATTGTAATGAAATCTGTTCTCTTATATAGACCTTCCTGCTCTGCAGAACCTACAGTTCTGTCTTGTCTGGATCCTCTGGATCCTATGGATCTAGATGTTTATTCTTCGATCCCCTAGATCCTCTAGGTCCATCACGTGACTTCCTGACCATGTGACGCGGTATATTGGATGCCGTCGTAACACTAATTGTTTACGGATGTATTAATAGATGCCATATCATCGGTTAATATTGAATTAATATTTGAAGCAGAAATGGTGCTCAAAGTGTTATAGGAGCTGCCTTTAGGATCATGTAAAAATGTTTAGAGATCTTTTGAGATAATTTAGACTAAATTTCAAGTAGGAATTCAATAAGGTTGGTAACTGGTTGTAATTCTTGTAATTATAGTAATGAAATTAATGATTATTCTTGAACAAAAAGCTTTATATTATAATAAAATCTATTCCTTTATATAAATCTTCTTGCTTAGTGTGATTAGTATGGCTCAATACTAATTTGTTTGTACTTTTATGACTTAGTGCCTATCCCGCTGAGGCAAACTGAGCCAACCACGTGACTTAGTGCCCCAGTCCCGTGCCTATGTTGCGTCGTTCGTAACATATTTGTATTTTAATAATTAATAATTATTTTTTGAAAAAATAAAATGTATGATAAAAATTATAATTTAAATATTTAAAAAATATAATTTTTATATAAATATTTTTATTATATTTTAAAAAAGATTGAAATTGTCACGATTTTCGTTACAAAAAAACTTTCTTTAAAATAACTATTATATTAAATCATATTTCTAATAATTGATTAGAAATTCTTATTATTTATATAAATAACTATAAAGTTTTTTAGGAAAAATCAAATTATATTAATAAATAAAGAAAGTACACAGTTATACATAGATGAATTTTGTATATAAAATGAATGGTGCATGTATTGATATAATGTACGCACTAATAAACTACGTTATCTTGATGAGGAAAATTACGCCTCTGTTAACTCAATGTTAGTAATGTGTAAGGTTAGTCATTAGCGAAATTTTGAGGAGTCAAGGTTGACAGGGATTAGAACGAGATCAAAGAGCCATTCTACCAAAAGTTGACATTGAAGAGATACTTGATTCGAGGCACAGAACGGAAAAGGCGGGCCATGAACATTAATGCAGGACAAGTTTGCGCGTTTTGTAAAGTTGTTGAAATTCTGTCAGTTGTCGCCTTGGGATTTCTAGCTGCCTACTCATTTATACTTGTCAGACTGTTTTCTGTGACTGCAAGAATAACCCTATGCGTCGATCATTATAAAGACAACAAAATGTAAAGAATGAGAAGAAAAGAAGCAAGCAAAAATAAGAGAGTGCAAATCTGTGGCCTCTACGGGAGAATATTGCAGCTCTTCGGGTATAGTCTAGATCACAATGTAGAGCATATCAGTGATGAAACCCACGAACTTTTTGGTTGAAATAGGATCAGAAAATATAGAATAAGCTAAGGAGTAACTAAAAATACAGCAGACTTATTGTTCATCGAACAACATTGTCGGAAAGATCTATCGCCGATGCTCCTGAATCAAGAGAGAAGAATCCTCTTACTGATCGTCTGACAAACCCACCATTGCCAACGAATCTTTCCAAAGTCGAGCCTCAGCCTCAGGATCGTAGACATGCCCTGCAAACCCTGCACCTGTAATCTCGTGATTGTCATTCCCACGGGTTGTCTTTGCGCACTCAGCAAGATATTCTCCGCCCTTAATTTCCCATTCTTTTCCAATGGCGGCCCACACTGTTGTTGCAGCACCCTGCGCTGCCGTCTTCATTGTTTTGTAGAGACCTTCATCCTTTGAAATTTCTGCTACCACGGCAGGATCCACATGCTGCATGAGCCCCGTTGCGACAGCAATTCCAGGATGGACACTTGTGGTATGAAGCCCTTGGGATCCGTAGCGCCTCTCGATCTCGTTGGCCATATAGATATTGGCGGTTTTGGCTTGTCCATATGCAACCCAGTCGTTGTATTCAGTCTTCTCGAAATTGTAGTTGCCCGATTCGTTGATCGATGCTACGTGGTACGCAGAAGAAGAGACACTAACGACTCGAGATAAGAATTCAGGGAACCATCGATACCAGAATTGTCTTCTTCAGTTGATGGCAGTGCTGCTAAAACATCGCGCATTTGTAATGTACATTCATGAGCATCTGGTGTTGGTGTAAAATAATCGGGGAAAATGTCACCAAAGAGGTCCCGACACATTTCTTCAGGCACGAAATTCACACCTTTCTGAATAAGGTTATCCGAAATTTCGGGAAAGGAAACATATTCATAATGCCCGTGTGGGCACAGTTCATCTGCAATTCCGTTGGATATAGCGAACCAGGCATAAGTAGGCCATCGAGAGGACGGAGGACTGTTAGGCCACCACAAATTTTAGTAGCAAACTGTTTAATAGGTGCTTTCTGAGGTGATGCCTTGAGAATGAGTGACGATGCAATTATCAGATCTTTATTAGACATCGAACCCCGATAAGAATTGTGTTGAACAAGGTGGATAAAATGATCAGATGATATCGTAGGTATCGCTGATATGTTCATCTCGGTAGCGAGGCTGGTGTTATTTGCTAAAGAGGTGGTTGTTGATGCCTGTCTTTGGGGCGAAAATGAGATTAGAGATTGGTTGGGTATGTCCGCAGAGCTTCCATATGGCAGCGAAGAGGAACTTTCGCCCAATGGAGGGTCTGGTGTCAGGATTGTGTGATCCTGATTGAGGGAATTTTGGAGCCTCATCTCGTATCTCCGTCTGAATTTGACAACCTACAGCGTTTTTGCGTGCGGGTGCTTCAACAATAGCATTAGCTGATCTCCACGGTGTATCAGATAATCTTGTCACGAAGCTTAAACTGACCGCGACGCAAGCCGGACGTGCGGAGCCTACGGTGATGAGCTGTACCGTTGACATCTCGGAAGAAGACAGCGTTCAAGCAATGTATAAAATCGTATCAGAACGTTTTGATGGACGTCTGGATATCGTCATCAGCAATGCAGCTAATATGGAACCATACAAGCCGTTACTCGATTCAGATCTAGATGTTTACTGGCGAACTTGGGAGGTCAATATTCACGGAATTCTAAAAATCACTCGTGCCTTCCTTCCTATGCAGCTTTTGACTCGTAAAAGCAACAATGGCTTATGCACAATGGTTAATGTATCCTCTTCAGGTGCATTGAGCGCTCGTCCTGGAAGTGCAAGTTATCGGAGCCCAAAGCTTGCGATTTTGAGGTTAACCGAGTTTTTATAATTGGAATATGGTGATCAAGAATTTCTGACCTATTGTGTTAATCCGGGTGCGATCAAGACGAAGATTACTGAGACCGCTCCTGAGGAGGTGCGGAATCGGTTTCCTGATCGTCCAGAGATAGCTGGGGATACAATTACATGGTTGGCTGCTGAGCGTAAGGAGTGGCTTGCCGGACGATACGTGAGCTGTCCATGGGATAAGGAAGAACTTATGAAGAAGAAGGATGAGATTATAGAGAAGGATCTGCTCAAAATGAGGATGGCATTCTGAGTTAAGATCTTCTATGACCGCGTTGGATCATGGCTAACTACGCCAGATTTAGCCACATCCTTCTTGAGTCTTTCGACGGTCTTATATGATAACTCTCCGCATTCCTGATGCGATTGGCTCAGTAGGATTATTTACTTACAATGTTCTTTACCTACCTATCTAACTGGGTAGCAAACCGTACAACAGACCAAATTTCCCATTCCATTTTACCTTCACCGCTTCCTGGCAGAATAATTAACCTAGAACACGTGCTTAATCGGGCCGTGTCGGCTAATGGGACCAGCCTCGAGTCAGCCTAGTATACTTTCCATCCCGTCCCGTCGTTAGGACTATTTTATGGTGACCACTCACTTGTTTCTTTACCATCCAAGACGGCTCCCAAATCACTCAGATATATCCATAGCCCAGATACGACTTGACTACATTAGTTATCTATACCACTCTTGTTTTCTCACCACCACATCCCAACCTACCATTTCCAAGATTCCCCAGATCAAGCTCGCCCATTTTACATAAGAATCGCTGCACTACAACCTCAAACCACCACAGCATGTCACCAACATGGCACAAGCATCCAATATCTCGTATAGATCTTGATCGTGACTTACTTTTTTAGGAAAAGCAACGGGTCGGCTCGTATGCGATATGCAACAAACGTAACCTCGGATATCTCTTCGAAACATTCATGCCGTCGTTGCATCTTCTCATGCTGGAAATGATCACGTGTGTCATTTTGAGGTTTGCGAATGGTTTGTGGGAATTTGGGCAATGTCAAATGGGTGTGGTTTGTATTTGTAGACAAAGTTTGGGTGTCAAGAATGCTACAGTTGGTGATTCTGGTATTTCATTAGTGGACGATATGAGCTTAGAGTTTGTCTTGTCGAAGCTTGAGAATCTGTGGTGATATTGACACTTGTTGGCTGAAGACAATCGAAATCATAGATTTGACCACAGCTATATCATGTCAGTAACATTGAAACACGGAAATCGAGGGGTTTCCAGAGAGATCTATCTACCTAGTATCGAAGATCTCATACGTTCGCAATCCTTTTTCATTTGCTTGTTGTAATTTCCTCTTCTAGTAAAAACACGGCACGTGAGTTGCTTGACCGCGCATGGTATTTCTGCGAGTAGATATCTTTCGATGTTTGTGTCCAAAATTTGTTGAGTTCTGCATTATATCAATCCTAGTATCTTTGCATCATTTTCACACAAGCTGATATACTCATGATTTCGAGCGGATAGCAATAGCTGCTCTTCGAAAAAATCTGTGATGTATAGTCTTTGGCTATTGTTTTCAGATCAAGTAATGATGTTCCAATTGTGTCACGCTATTGAACATTGGTAGAATATCACACTACATTTAGAGCATATCAAAGTATGACATACTCATGGTCCATGGATGACGGAGCAGAGAAAGCTATTTAAAGTCAACCCAAGTTAACAGATCGAAGGAGTGTAACTTACTCATGAAAAAACACGAGGAGATATAACCAAAACGGACGAATTGAAGAGTATTAAACCCCGAGTCTTTCGATCGTCAAGTACGATTCTTGATAAAACAACGTGAAAATATAATGGACTTCCTTGGCCTAAGAACCGTATCAGTTTACAATCACTTTGTGACCATATTTCACATCTGGTGAATCGACATTTATATACCCGGTTGCTTCCACCATGTGCGTGTCAAATGAAGCTTGGTGGTGCAGCGGTCTAGCAGCCGTTCGCATATCTGTAGGTCCTAGAGATTTACATCGGGTTACGATCTTGGTCTAGCAGCCATTACGTTCATGTTCTAAGTGGATGACACACTTCTCTTTTTTTTTTTGCTTTTTTCATCCTCGAGAGAAGGCATCTTTTGCAATTCTTGGAAAGTGTCGCGTTTCAAGCGGAAGAATTTGGAGATTTCAAAGACTAAATAATCTACTGGATACAATGCTATCATCCGAACTATCCTTACCGAAGCTTCAATTCATAGTGGGGCTCTGCTATTATTATTCACTTTGAATGAAAACAGCATTTTCTTTTCGTTCACAATTGCTGGTGGTTCAATTTCAATTCACTATTTTATTTCTCTCTCTACAATCCCAGTCGTCAAAATGCGATAAAGCCTTCCGAAGCGTTTAACTCTCATTCGGTTTCACTGATGCAAACATAACGATTCTATTGAAGAGTAAAGACGAATTGTTCTATTCTTCCTCTTTCTCACGTATTGCTTCCTATGTACAGCCGATCGAATATATACAGACTCATTCCACTATGTACAATCTCTTCACCAAAGTATACCAAACCCTATCAATCAATCCTCGTTACTACTATTTCCGGGTAAGACAAGCGGCAACGAGCGCTTGGTCAGTCATGGAAGAGCCACTTCCATTGGGTGTTTCCGTCAATACTGTGACATGAATATTAGTACGTTATTAAACAAAAAATGATGGACCTATAGAATTTTGCTGCACTTACTGTAAGTTGAATCGAAGCTTCCAGCAGACCATCCAATATATCCCAAATAGACATCAGAGTTCGCACTGTACAGTCATATTGTTAATAACATATCTCACAGCATTCTATCCCCAATTTTAAAGATGGAAGGAAATTGGAAACATACTTCAAATAAGCAACCTGTTGACACAAATATGTCTGGCAACTTGCGGTATTTCCACCGCCTGTCTCGCTCAGTATAGTCTGTCTCCCATTCGCCCGTAGCCAAGTTGCTAATGGTGCAAATGCAGCATCGATATTGTTGGTTACACACTCGGCGTGGGTTCCAGAATTATCGGAGTCGAGGTATTTGTGTACGTCGAAGATCAGATTGGTGAAAGTGCCATCAGGATTGGTAATTTTGGAGAGGGCGGCGGCGCTGCCGTCGGTGATGAAAGCGCCTGCGGATGCGTACTAGATGGTTGAAGTTAGTGGATTGGTTCAGAGCCATGTAAAAGTTTGAGGTGGTTTGGAAGACAGGCGCTCAGAAAGAATGTGAGTGGGTCACAACAACATGTATGGTGTCACTATACTTACGTCACTACCAGGGAGTAAAAGCATGGTAGATGTTGCGCCCGCTTGACGAATAGCAGTAACGACTGTTTGAAGTGTTGCCGCCCAGGTGGTTATACTATTTAAATCTTTATTTTCATTAGTCCGTATTCAAGTATTCATTTCTCCTCTCCTCTTTCCTCTCCTCCACTCCCCACTCCACTCCCCTCAAGAAAAGAAAAATACGCACCATGTGGTTCATTCATCAATCCAAAAACGATCTTCGTATTCGACTTATACTTTGCCGCCAATTGAGTCCACAAACTCACGAACTGCGCATCCGTCGGTCCTCCCTGTCCAATTATCCCTCCATTCCATCTCGCATAGTTATGGATATCAATCACACAAGTAGCACCCGTTGCTATGCATCCCTGAAGCAGCTGATCATAGGTCGCAAGATTGGAGCTGTCGAGTGTTCCCCCGAGATTATTGTTCACAAGGTATTGCCAGCCAACGGGGAGACGGAAAATGTTATGACCAGTCTTGGAGACAAAGTGGGCCATTTGACCTAGTCCGTCGGGACCATTGTTGAGGCTGCTAAGAGCCTGTTGGGGAGGGGAGTTAGTGAGGGATTAGAGTTAATAAGGGGTCAAGGGATGCCTACTGGGTAGACTTTGTTGGTTAGACATGTACCGTCTGTTGTGCAACCGAAATCGAATCCGGCGATATTGGTACCGACTTGAATGTGTCAGTGTGACTTCTCTATTCGTAACATTCTCATAAAATGGCACTAATAGCATGAACTTACTATACTTTGTCTTTCCCGTCGAACTTGGTGTTGCGGCTGTACTGGTTTTCGTACCAGCACTCGTTGTTGCACTTGTAACTGTTGTTAAAGTTGCTATATTGCCACTTATTAGTCATTCTATCTTTCTACATTGCTGTAACTTTTTTTTCTCTCTCTAGGAAAAAGACTAACCAGTTCCAGGCAAACATTGCGAATAATACGCATTCCCATATGTACACACATAACCCGACGCACAGGTCGTAGAGCCAGACCATCCCGTACCACCACACTGTGCGAACGCGGCGCCTTGTGCAGCGGCGGTAGACACGAGAGTAACGATTGTGTATAAGGGAGTTGAGAGCTTCATCTTGAAGGTATGAAAGAGATAGCTGAAAGTATGATGTATGAAACATGCGGACAGGAAAGTTTATATTGTGTAAATGCCAAGACATCCATGCGGATTATATACTCCAACCCATCATCGAAATTTGGCACGCTACCACCGGTGTATACCAAGTATTCTCATGAGCTCCCGGATTACCGCCCGGAATACTCTTCATACATCTCATTCTCACCAATTCCACTCACCTCGCCACATATCTCCATCCACGGACCGAAACCCCCGTCTTCCAAATTCCTTTTCATTTCCCCTCCCCTAGAAGAAAATATAAGAATGCATGCGCGCTCTATACATTAAATCTCCAAGGTTTACTTTGGTACTAATACTCGACTAATACACAATATATGGGGTATTGGCACCTTTATCCATCTCGTGATTCCAAAATGCCATGTAATACTGGAGCTTAGCTCAGTTTAAGTACGTGAAATGTTGACGTGACGGAAAGAAAATGATGGGGTTCCGAGACGGGATTGCGGGAAGAGTTTCAGGAGGATGGGGTGGGTTGGGCCGAGGGCCGATAATGTGATGGAGATGAGATGAGATGGGAAAGTGGATCCGTTGAATTTATCTCTTGGTTTTATTTGCTTAATTATTTTTGTGGGCGGAGTAGGAAATAGATCTAGAGGGGATTTATATTCTGTTTTATTTAGATTACTGGGATAGGAAAGGAAAAGAAAAGAAAGGAAAGGAATACCCGGATTTCTATCCTGTCTAATCATCATTTATCTACCAATTTTCCCTTTCCAAAATCTTTCCAAACTCCCACCACACTACCTACAGACCCTCCTTCCCTCCCTTTCCTTCTCCCTCAAATCCACATAAAAAAAATCCCCATCCCCA